AATTGAAAAAAAAAGAAATAGAGAGAGAATTTACGCACCTTCCGTTCGGTCCTAACTCATCGATGCCCGGAGCCTCCACCCGCGCGTACCCGCCGAACCCGTGGTAACGCGGAAACGTTTTACGTATTTTTTATGTTGTTCTTGGAACTATCCTCAAAATGGTCGGCTGATAACTTCCACCACGGGCTAAAACAGCCAATCAGAACTGTACTCTGCGGGATTCACTTTTGGTACGCGGACTGAATCATAGAGTTATTACAATAAACGCTAGAGGCTCAGCTGGCGCTAGTGTCTACGGGACTTCCGGTTCCAAATTGAAGCAGACAGTGTGCAGTCTACTTCTCCATGCTGCCTGTGTATTTCTATGGGAAAACGCGCGTGAATTTTGCCTCGTCGCCGGAAAATAACATGAATAGCTTTTGTTATTTCGGTTGTACCGGATAGTATGTACCTTTTTTAATACTGTGAAAGTGTAATTGCTTTAGTTACAACATTTTTCCTTTACCACTGAACGATGTTAAAGTTAGCTCTATTTCGGGTCCAAACCTGTTTCATGGCAGGTATGTAGAAACGAGCGACGATTCTAAGCAAAATAACGATCGAAAGGAATGTAGAGTGTGTTCAAAGTTCGCCAGCATTCCGTTGATGCTTATATATTGCTAATATGCCTGTCCTCTCACTATATGAAAATGACCCCATCGTGCATCTTTACGAGTGGTTCAAGAACCTTCGAAACGTAAAGAATAAAGTACGTGGGCTATGAAAGGTGTGTTTTCTTATTATTTCCTATGTCGGGCAGTTTTTATCGCGCACCTGTTCTCTGGCTGCCCCCCATTTCCAAAGATTTGGAGCGTGCGGGCGATGATTTGAACACAGAACAAGCGTCTTCGCATATATTCACGAGCAGAAAGAATAAAGCAGTACTTATTTATTGCAAATCGGACTATATTACGTGGATTTCAATTTATTTTGATCGTCTGCATGCACAAAGAGCCACTTATCCAGTGTTACTGCGTAGTTCTTGCCGCCTCTTCTAGTTTTCCACATGTCCTTCGTTCGCTTGGCACGCATATCCCCCTTGCTGGAAATCGTCGACGCCGTGTTCGCGCTAACAGTGTCCGACAATGCACATAAATACACGTACGAAGCGGTTTTAACACCGTTTTTCATGACGCGAATTTTAGAAAAAAATGCTGTCACTGACCAATCATTTCGCCTGCGTGACTGAGCAATGTTTCAAATTATTCGTGATATTTGCTCTTATAATCGAGAGCAGAGAGAAAATGCACTCGCTTTTTCCCATAGAAATGCATTACCGGAAGTCAATTTCTGACTGCTTGCTGTCTGCTTCAAAATGCAACAGCACACTAGCGCCAGCTGAGCCTCTAGCGTTTATTGTAATAACTCTATGGACTGAATGCGATTTGGTGCTCTGGGAACATTCAGTGACTCTAACAGTGTTGCGGAGTTGCCAATCCGGAGTTGGAATGATTCCGGAATCATTCCGCATTTTCGCGACCCCGGAGTGGAATGGGAATGGAATGGCGGCAACGTTCAGGGGAATGCAATGGGAATGGAATTAGATGCCTTTTGCCCGGAATGGAATGGGAATGGAATGGGGCCAAGCTCTCCTTTTTTTGTCTGTGTTTACAGTTAGCTAAACCGAGCCAGTCAGCGAGTCAGTTGCTCAGAAATAAAATGAGCGGGAAACTGCTAGCCGGAGTAGAGCCCTAACAGACTTATACGCAAGAAAATGCAATACAAAAAACAAGCGTCAATCAAAGAGCAGAGGGGGGAAGGGGGGTGGGGGTGGCGGCGTTTACGGACGCGCAGGCTACGGGCTTCACCGGCCTTACACGAGAACGAAACAAGAAACCAAGCACCAAGCAAAAGAAACGAAGGAAGCGGCAAAGAAAGAAACCGCCGTGCACGGCTCCTCATCAGCTCTGATAACTCGTTGACTCGCGCGCCCCCGAAAGATGATCAGTTATTGTTTTCTTATAGCTCGAGGAGCGTTGTTTAGCAGGCGGCCAACCCCGCCGCCTTCCAGGTTCATTCCCGCCCACTCCTTTGAAGTGCGAAATGTGGGTTTGCTTCGGCATTAAAACAAAACCAAATTCACTTCTCTCTTCTGCAGTTGCGCTTTGCTCCGACGCTTGTTTTTTTATACTGCATTTTTATGTGTAAGTCCGCGTTTTACTTGATCTTTGTTCCGATGCTTGTTTTCTGTGTTCTGTTTTACATTGAAGTGGGTTAAGATTACAAGCAAGCTAGCGCATTCCCGCTCATATCCTTTGACTTGGGTCTCTGCATACAAGGTACTGCGGTGGGCTAGTTGGTTCATACATAGTGTTTGAACAGCGCAAAGACTGTGGTCTTTGCGCTGTTCAAACACTAAGTATGAACCAACTAGCCCACCGCAGTACCTTGTTGCAGTTTATTTCTTCTACCACCGCTCGTCCTGTCCTCTTCTCTTCTATCTTCCTGTCGTCTTTGCGCTGTTCAAACACTAAGTCTCTGCATACTTTGTTTCACCTTGCGATGGACCGCTGTGGACGTTACGAGTGACCCCAGGCAGTCCAGCACTGTGAGCGGGACTACACGCACGGCGCGTTGCTGCGCCCCAGGGTCACGCGACACTCAGAAGGCACTGGATTGGTTTGGATATCTCTCGTGCTGTCTGTTGCAGTTCATGGTAAGGTGAAGTAGACTATGGTAACCGCCCTTGTTGCGTGGCCGAACTGACTAGACTTGCAGAAAAACAGTTTCGTGACCTGGTCTATACGGTGCCTCGTACTGCGCCGTAAAGGTTTCACTTTGTCAGAGGATGTGTTCTTGCCGCCGTGCATGGAGTCGCTTCCAGCAGCGTACTATAGCCGTGTTGCTGTTTTTGAAGAATACAGCAATATAGCTTATTTCTGCGCCACGCACGAACTGGGTATTTTTTTATGGTCTTATCAGACAAACACACTGGCAGTGGTCGCGTATGTCCTAAAAGTCAAATGCAAAAAAAAAGCTAAAAATAGTGAATTTGAGTGTTGCTGTTTGTTGCGAGCCACGTGGTCGCAATACCGATGTCTTAAACAAGCATCGACATATCAAGGGGCTTTCTCGGTGTTTGCAGTATAATGTAAACAAGCACTTTGTTCCACAAGCGCTCTGCTTAGCAAATTCAGTGTTTTTTGGGCCTTTAGCATTTTTTTTGCGAATGTCTCTGCGTTGATAATGGCAGCTTTATGCTGCTTATGCCGACAACACAATATAGCTGTCAAGTGCCAATTTTTACGTTTAGGGATTAGCGGAATGGAATGGAACAATTCAGCCATTCCGAGAGTGGGAATGGACCCACTGTTCCCATTCCTAGGAGTTGAAAGGAATTGAATTATCGAAACTTTAATTCCCCGGAATGGAATTGGAATCGAATGAGGGTACCCATTCCGCAACACTGGACTCTAATAGTGCCAATACAAAAGCGCCACGAGAACCCACAATTCGCAACACATTGCGATTTTGTAAATGACGATTTGGTCAATATATAGAATTACAGCTGCCAGTTTTTATTCTCAAATATATAAAAAAATCTCGCCAAGTTAGTTAAACGAGGTAGGGCGAGGAAAAGGAGGGCTGGGGAGGAAGAAGTTGGCGGAACGCTGGAGAGGAGAGGTGGAAACCTCCTCCTCTCTCCAGCTTTCCGTCCGCTGTCCATATGAATTGGGCAGTAGCCTTCTCAGACAAGTTGATCGGCTCGTGAATGCGGGTTTTTCACAGTTCTGAGTAGAAGCTGTGGAGGGCCCAAAAAAAAAAAAGATATAGAGGCACTGAGAGGAGTGCTCTTGAACGCCGGAAAATAAGGCCTGCAGTAAAGTATGGATGAAGAAAGAATAAACAATTAAAACAGGGACAACACAACCACAATGAAAGATGTGGTTGTGTTGTCCCTGTTTTAATTGTTTATTCTTTCTTCATCCATGACCTAAACCAACACGCTCTTCTACCAAGTAAAGTATAAACCGCATGTAAACGATTTGGCGAGCGACGAGGCAAACAACGGCGACCCGCTTCGCTGTCGCTCGATCAGTCGCGCGACGAGGTAAACCGCATAAAAGCGACGGGAGCAAGCGACCAAGTCGATGAGCGACGTTTTTTAGAAATCCAAAAAACGAGCGACGCGACAAGCGGCAATGAGAAATCTCGGTCGCTCGTCGCTGACTCTCATCGCTTGCGCCGACGCTCGTCTCGTCGCTCGCAAAATCGCTTACATGCGGTTCAGCTTTAATTTCTTGCATTCACGCGATCTCTCACAACTTGATGAACGTTGAGGAACATTACGACGTTCGAGCTGTTTTTCCGTCGCCTTACAAGCTCTCCTCGTTATGCAAGAAAAAAAAAAGAAATCAGTGTTTTAGAGGGAGAGAGGAATGAATGGGAGACCAAGCACAGAAACAAGAAAAAAGAAGAGGGGAGAGGAAATGGAGGAAAACACGATTTTCCCTCCTGTCGCCAAGGGGAAAAAAAGGCACTGTTTGCTGCCACCCGGTGGTAGCAACGACTTCCGGGTAGACCCGCTTGCTGCCACGGACCAATCGGATGGCTACACACCACGTGACCGTGCTAACATACTAGGTAATTAAATTGTATATTTATTTTATTTGGTATATACAAGATATATTATGTTATAATTGCCTTATAACGATATAACTTATGTTATAAATATTTGTGACGTCACAACTTGCTTTGTTCGTGAATTCTTTCTGGCCGTTCCCGCCGTTTTCCGATTTGCTGTCGGCTGGTACCTGAGCAGGCGTGCGTTTGTGTACGGCACAGGATCTTCGGCAAGCTTCGGATATCGCCCTGAAATAATCGCGAATCGGCATTCTCGATCGCTGATTGTTTTCTTGTAGAGTGTTATTGAGGGTTCCAGATAGTTATTTTCACTTGACATCTCTTGGTTTAGTTGTAATTGGAGCTGGTTGTGTTGGTGTGCGGGTCCCGAACTAGGCATGCCACGTGTGTTGGTAGCCGGTGATTCGATGTTGAAAGACCAAGCGCGGTCTTTCACACTGAATCCTGGCGTGGCTGTCGAGGTCAGGTCCTTTAGTGGTGTCAGGATTGAGCGGTTGTTCTCCATGATCGCTGACAGTCTGCCTGGCTTTGATGCGGTGGACGTGCATGTTGGCACTAACAACGTCGGGGATAGTGACATCACGCGCGTCGCCAAATTTCGTCAGCTGGTGTCGCGCATCATGGAGAAAAACCCCGAGATCCAGGTTGCGTTCTCGGCCATCCTTCCGAGGGAGGTGAGCCTTCGGAAGAATGATCGGTGGGCGGTCAGTGCCGAAGTGCTGCAAGAACACAATGATGAGGCCAGGAGAACGAATCTCATCTTGCAGGAACTCTGCCGCAAGGAGGGATACGGCTTCATCGACGGAAGCAGGCAGTCGTGGAGTGGGCTGCTCATGCTGGATGGTGTCCACTTCAACAAGAAAGGCAGCAGGGTAGGTTTGATCTGCGTATTTGAGCCATAGCATGAATTTAGAACAATAAATTAGAATCAACATGTATGCAAATAACGCTAAAAGGTTGCTGTGCCTTAGATTTTCGTGGTGTCGCGTTTTCCCCTAAAGTTTCCATATCTTGGCAGGTGTTTGGACGCATCCTTCGAGGCGGCCTTCATGGTGTTGTGGCAGGCCACGGGCAGGAGGCTGAGGACCAGGAGTGGAGTCGCCATGCAGCAGAGGAGGAACACCAGGAGCTGCGTCGTGAGTATGGGGACCAGGCCAAGGAGCTTGCAGAGTTCTGGAACGGTAAGTATAACTTCCCTTCCCTTAGTTCTAGTGCCGGAGGAGGCCCAGCCTGTGTGGGTGAAGAACAGGTGCAGGGCATGTGCACTGTGACAACCACTGACACATGCACCACCAGCTGGGCCGCTGTTGTGCAGAGGCCGCCGAAACGTGTGTCACGTGGCCGTGGCGGCGTTGACGGCGTTGACAACACTGTCAGAAGTAGGGGCTGTGTGCCGCGCACACAGTCTTCACAGAACACCGAGCCCTCTCGGGGTGCCCCAGCCGCCAGCGGTCATGCCACTCGAGAGCAGAGGCTGAGAGGAGTAAAGCCCTCTAGGATGCCAATGATGCTTTCTGATGGCTGTGCTCCTGCGCTTGTCGGGGGAGTGTGGGTGCACCGGAAGGCTGGCAGATCTGTTGCTGCCTGTGGTGCCTCGGTGCGTCCCTCCTCTCCTGTGGCGCAGTGCATCGACCCCCATGAGGGTGTAGTGGCCACGGCCTGTCGCACCACTCGAAAGCAGAGGCGGAGAGGAACAAAGTCCTCAGGGATGCCAATGACGCAAACAGGCGGTCGTGCTCCTGCGCTTGTCGGGGGAGTGTGGGTGCACCAGAAGGCTGGCACATCTGTTGCTGCCTGTGGTGCCTCGGTGCTTCCCTCCTCTCATGTGGCGTAGTGCATCGACCTCCGTGAGGGTGTACCGGCCACGGCCTGTCGCACCACTCGAAAGCAGAGGCGGAGAGGAACAAAGTCCTCAGGGATGCCAATGACGCAAACAGGCGATCGTGCTCCAGCGCTTGTTGGTAGAGTGTGGGTGCACCAGAAGGCTGGCCCATCTGTTGCTGCCTGTGGTGCCTCGGTGCGTCCCTCCTCTCCTGTGGCGCAGTGCATTGACCCTTGTGAGGGTGTACCGGCTACGGCCTGTCGCACCACTCGAAAGCAGAGGCGGAGAGGAACAAAGTCCTCTGGGATGCCCATGACGCAAAGGGGTGGCTGTGCTCCTGCGCTTGTCGGGGGAGCTCGGCACTCTTGGATGGCGCGTACATGCGGTGCTGCCTTTGAGTGTTCGTCTCTTTTAGAGGACTCGGTTTCTTCTTCTGGCAGAAATAAAGGGTGTTCTAGTGAGATAGTGGGTCAGATGCCTCTAAGATGCATTTCTTGTAATGTACCAACAGTGCATGGTCAGGCTGGTGCAGATGCTCCTGTCAGTGGTGCAGATAGGGTGCCTTGCACACCCTTTGGGTTAGGCAAATTAGCTGGAGGGGGCACTCTGGGTCTAGGCGTCACATTCAGTGACTATAGCGAGTTTGAATCTAGCTATAAGCAGTGGCTAGCTGCCAAATTCACTCCCATGAGAATTGGTCACTGAAAAAAATTTGTCTAGTTGCACAAGCCCTACATCTAAGGACCCCTTCCCTTATAGGCGTATCACTTTTGAGTGCTGCCGTGCTGGGAAGTCTCGATCTAGAGGAAACGGCATCCGAAACAAGCAGAGGTATCTTGCGACAGGATGCCTATGCAAGGTGTCAGTTTCTTTAATTGTGGAACCGATGCCTCATTATAAAGTTCACAGCATGGTAGAGGGCCACAACCATCCCGAAGGGCCAGGGTTCGAAATGTGGTATCCGCAGAACAGGCTCCTAAACAAGGCTGAAAAGAAAGAATTTGAAGACGTCCTTTCATGCAATGTTAAACCAAAGGATTTGAAAGAGTTGGTATTTAAAAAGACTGGAAAGCATATTACATCGCAAGACGTTAGGAATGTAAAGCATGAAAATGTGAGGAAAATCGAGAATAGTCTGCATCATGGTTCTCTCTTGTTAAAGCAAATGGAAGATTTAGTTAAAAAATGTCCTGGTTGGATTGTACACATTGAAAAGGATTCTAGCAATCAGCTTTTGTTTGTATTATTTCAGTCTAACTTAATGAGGCAGTTCACAGAAAATTATTCAGAGGTATTATTTTTCGATGGCACTTACAAGGTTAATATTGAAGGTTATATTCTTCATTCAGTACTCTGCGAGGACAGCACAAGCCATGGGAGACCGATCTGTTACATGTTTGTGCAGCGGGAGACTAAAGAAATTCTTCAAGCAGCTATAGCGAAGTTCCTCGATTTAAATCCTGCTGTGGTGTCGAATTGTAATGTAGCGGTGATGGATAAGGACCTTAATGAAATGAATATTCTTGCACAGCTGCTACCAAATTGTAGAATTTTGCTATGCTCTTGGCATGTGGTAAAGTATCTGCACCAAAGAGTTTCGCAACTTTGTTCTAGCAGAGTCGACAAGCAAGCCGTTAAGTCTCTCATATCAAAGCTAGTTTTCTCTTATGATGACAATACTTACCAGGAACTCTTGGAAGAGCTTGAAAATGAAATGCAAAAGGAGCTTGAAAGTGAAAAGCAAAAAAAGTCCAGCTTTCTTGAGTTTTATTATAAAAATTGGCACGACTGTAGGGAGATGTGGGTGCATGCATACCGTCGTAACATCTATACCTTTGGGAATAACACTAACAACAGAATGGAAAGCCACAATCAAAAGATAAAGCAGTTTATGCACCAGCGTATGCATTTAGTTGATGCTGTCAAAGCCTTGGTTCAATATGTAAACCATGATACTTTATCTGTTAGCTTTGCACAATTCCAAGAAACCATGCTGTGCCTTGACACACGAAAAATTGATGCATTTCATATTCAGGTATCTACCAACTGTACAGGATATGCTAGCAACTTAATTTATAAGGAGTATGAATCTTACTCAAATGGAAATCTTGCATATTGTATGAATAATGGACAGCATACAGTCAATAGTAAAAGTAATTGTTACATTGTTTCACAGGATTTAACTGCCTGTACATGCACATTCCAAAATCAGTTCCGGCTTCCTTGTAGACATATCTTTGCTGTTAGATCTAATCTTTCAGTGGATCTTTTCGATGTCAAATGTGTTGCATTTCGGTGGTTAAAGTCTGGCTTTGTTGAAACTGATGTAGATACTGCACAGGCAGTAGCGCAAAAAATTAGTTTGAATGTATCAACGAAAGGAAATCCCAAACTGGACACGACGGAATCAAAGTATAATTACGCTTTAAGTGAGCTCTCGGAATCATGCAAAAGCATAGCAAACACTTTGGCATGCTGTGGTAAATCTGAGCTGCTGGAAAAGTTATCTGAAATAAAGAGTTTTTTTAATAACCTGATAACCTATCCTAGGAATAAGACTTCCAAAACAGTATTCAATCAAGATGAACAGCAGGATTTGAAGCAGGCTCATTGCAAGGATGAAGATGAGCTAAATGAAGAAGGGTCATTTGGTAGTGAGGATGGCATTGTAGAGAGCCCTGCTAGTATTCCAAGCATTAAAAGGGAGGAAATTTGCGATTCGAGCACTGTTGAGCGTACGCAATTAAAGCAGCATTTTGTGGACCACAATTATTGCAAAAGTTTAGACATGAATACAAACTCTTCAGACATAATTACTCTGTCTCCAGAACCGGAATTTCATAATGAAAGAAAACGTGCTGAAGTTTCACATACTGTTGTAGATCTGACCTGTGATGAAGTATTGGATAAAGACGTATTGATTGTTCCATTGAATAAGTCTCCTCGTGGTAGGCCCAGTAAAAGAAAGCGCCAACCAACTCCCTCCAACAAGGCCAACACAATCGATATCAAAAGCATAATACTGCTGAGATGACAAAATGTTTGGCTAGGTAGCGCAAGCTGCCGCCCGTTACAAAGGGTATTGCCATTACCATCCATCCACCTAACCAGGTGCTGCCGCCTGTCGCTGTCGGGCAGTCGCTCACAGTCGCTAATGTTTTCAAAGAGCATTAATATTGCTGAATATATTATGCGTTGGTTATAAAACAGTTTATAGACCTAAATAAAACTAAAAAAATATAAACTAGGCGCGGTAAAAATACAAGAAGGCGTAGTGCTTCTACCTGGCGTTGTCGGGTAGCAGTGCAGTCGTTCTGATTTTTTTAAAGCAATGCTTTTTCCGGGTAGGTCGCGCATTTGCTATATAAATAGTTTATAAACCTACCAGATATTTGTCATATCACAAATAAAGTCTAGTTATATGCGGCTACACTATACCGGATACGACGTCACGGGTGGCAGCAAGGATTTCGTTCCGGTAGTCGTTGCTACCCGGTGGCAGCAACGTCGGCCGGAAAAAAAAGGTAAAGGGGGGAATTGCATGCCGTTCCTCCATTTCACCGATTCAGATGCAGCGCCGTCTAGTGGCGCTTGAAAAAGGGACAAAAACTTTTTTTTTTCATGTTTCATGGCGGTGACGGCAGGGACGGCAATTTGAGTGCTTGATAGCTTTTTACATGCAAAGGACTCTTAGACTAGTGCGTCGAATTTTAAATCGCATTAATAATAATTGTGTTCATTCCTGTTGCACTATGCACAATATATCATGCACCTAACAACAATATTTTAGTAGATCGTTCTGGTTCTTCTACTGAGTGGGAGAACCAGAACGATCGCTGGGGGGTTCTCCCATCAGTAGTCAGGTCGCTAGAGCGACCTGACTAGTGCGCATGCGCTGTGCTAGCGGAGAATTAGCGGGGCTGCGGAGGCTAGCGGAGGTAACACTAGTTTAGCAAAATAGCGAGGCACGAAGCGCGGCGTGCTAGCTTTTGTCTCCCGAGTACCACGCCGCATGTGCCCGCTGCGAGATCGCGCTTGTCAGTGGTGGATGAAACCTTGCTGCTGCGAGAAGTAGCCGTGGCCAATCCATTCCAGGACTCTGACAGGTGGCGATTTATCACTTACATGCTCAGTATGGCCACTTTCGTCATGTTACTTGCTACATGACGAGTAGGGTGAACGAGAAATTAATTGTCGTGATCTTGGAAGTTTTTCGCGTGATCACGTAGCTGCCAAGGTCGCTGCTCTATTCGAGTCAACCCGTGTATGTACCACACAACGAAAGATAATCCGTGCGGCGTTTATTCCAGTTCTATGTAAAACAGAACAGCGTATCCAGTCGACAAAAACGAGCACTGCCTTGCGACGACCGACTGCGTCCGACAGACGTTGTAGTCCGTCACCATTGAGACCTCGATCGCCCTGCGGGAAATACGCACTTTTCGAACCAGTTACACCACAGCCCCGCACAAGAAATGGCACTGAAACGACGATTCGGCGAAGGAGCGAAGCAACGGATCCGGAAAACAAGGTCAACCATTCGTTCGGAAAGAGTCCACCCAGATAAAAATAACCATTGAGAACCATTGGAATTTCAATTGGTACCAGTTGTTTCCAACTGGTTCCAATTGGAAATTCAATTGATGCCAATTGTAACTAGTTGGATCCAATTGTCAAAAAGCAAACAATTGGTTGTGTCAGTTGGTTTCAATTGGAAGTTCAATTGATATGCCAATTGTAACTAGTTGGATCCAATTGGCAGTAAGTAAACAATTGGTTGTGCCAGTTGGTTCCAATTGGAAGTTCAACTGATGCCAATTGTAACTAGTTGGATCCACTTGGCATTAAGTAAACAACTGGGTGTGCCAATTGGTGGCAATTGCAAGCTCAGTTGGCACCAAAATAACTAGTTGAATCCAACTGGCATTACGATGTACAATTGTTATGCCAATGGGGACGAAAATGTCCAGTTGATTATCACAACTGTACTTTTCAATTGACACCCGATACACAATTCTATCTTCAGTTGTCTTTCATTAGTTATTTTAACCCAAATGAAAATTTAAAGTGGTTTCACAAGTGGTCCCACTTTACCAATTCCCACTTTCAACTAGTTTAGTCAAAATTATCCTAGTTAGGTTCAGATGTCCCATTTGTAAATTCAAGAAGCTACACCTTTTTTTCATCGTTTTTTTTTCAGTGAACATGTGTAAATAGGCTTCTAAATGCGCCATTACTTCAAATTGTGTGATTTTTTGATGAAACTCATATGGAGAAAAAATTGTACATATTTTGTTTTTTTCAGCCCAGTTACAATTAAAATTGGTACAATCGGAATCATAGCACTTGCACAAAGTACTTTTTTTTAAATATCAAAATGAGAAAAACTTCCGCATGGAAACTGAATATGTCAGAATTTTTTTTTTATTATTTTATGTTGTAAATATTTGTTTGTTTGTTTTTTTGCTTTTTTTTGTTTTGCTAAAATTGGCGGGAATCCTCGGAAACGTCTGTACACACTGGGCAACAAAGATGGCGTCCGGGAAGGAGCGCATAGGCACATTTAGGGGTGTCGCGAACTTTTGTCGAACCAGATTTTTTGGTCGAACTTTCGGGGTTCGACTGGGTCGAACCGGTTCGACGAACCTTCGAACTTTTCACCAGATTCGACCGGTTCGACTTTGTGGACAGTGTGGCCAGACCTTGATACAAGCATGTCTAGGTTTGGAGGATTTGTTTTTTTATGCAAAGGGTTATTTTATTGTGTGAACAGCTGCAATTAAAAGAAACTAATTCTATTCACTGAAGAAGTCAATAACTTAAATTTTAGTACTGTATTGACTGAAATAGCCGATCAGCGCTGCACTTAATTCATCTCTTAGCCATTACCATCCAATCCGAAGCCAACTGGCCAGCCTGTCGCGCATGCGCACACGAGTCGAACCTCAATACAAGGTTCGACGAACTTTCCACTAAAAGTTCGAAAAAGTCGAACCTGGTCGAACTCGAACCGCGGCCGGTTCGCGACACCCCTACGCACATTAGAGTGCCTAGAATATACCGGCTAGTGTGACGAGCGCCAGCGCTCCCCTAAGGGAGAGGGTGGCAACTCTTGTTATGAATGCCCACCGAAGGCAGCAGAGGGCGCTGGCTGTCGGGTGGGTGCTGCCGCAGCAGACAACGCGGCTTTCTAGCTTTGGAAGTGTACAAGCGGTTGCTCTTCTGCGTATATGTGATTGTTCTTCTGGTGCGCGCCTTTTTTTGTTCACCGAGCTACAGCGGCTGTTCTTGATGCCACTTCTGCAGGCATTGTCACCATAAAATGTCCAAGCCCAAGAGGCAGTGCAAAGAGAGAACATGTTTTGTCCCGCTGTGCACGAGTGGCTACCGTTCGAACAAGCAGCAAGTGTCTCTGTTCACGGCACCTGCCGACGCTACGCGGCTGGCGGAGTGGGAAAGGGCGATAAAAAGAGAAGACAGGAGGTTGACATTAGCATCTGTCGTGTGTGAAAAACATTTCGAGGAGAGCTGCATTGAGCGCGCGTTCAAGGTGACGGTAAACGGCGTGGTGAATGAGATCGCTCGAGACAAACCACGTCTAAAGCCTGATGCTGTGCCAACATTGTTTGAGCAATATCCGAAGCATCTAGTGCCCAAGAAAGCACCAAAGAGAAAGGTGAGGAACCTTTGCTTACAGGAGCCGCCTCCACAAAGACGCAGAGAAAAA